GAGCGAGCAAGGGAGAAGGAGGAAAGGACCAAACACTAAAATATAACTTGGGCGTGTATCGTACATGTGTGACTCTGGCACATGGGTCACCCCTGCTTCATCTCTTTCTTGCGCACTAAGCGGCGAGAAGCTACGAGCTGAGACACAGATGCAGGCTGCTGCTGCAGCAGTACCGCAACCGTGGATGCATGGCTGTGCTATCAGGAAGCCCAAGCCTGTTGGCTAGCTGAAGACATTTATGAGGCTGAGCAAGAAGGCAAAATATTTTTTCAAGGAGATCTCTGTGCATTTGAAGGCACCCAGATAGGGGAAATAAACGAGATGCTTTGAAGGCTCCAAAGTAGAAGGCTTGTGGGAACTCTGGCTAAGGCTGGAATAGGCTTCAGGAGCAATGAAAAGGGACATGAAGCTAAAGGGCAAGCTGTGGGGAAAATAAAGTGTGCCTGGCAGTGGTGGGGGCAGAATTTCCTGCAAACTAAAGAGCAAAGATACATATAAACATTGCAAAGGGAGGACAAGCCAAGCCAAGCCAAACAAAAAAGCTGAAGAACGTTTTTGTAAAATGAAATTAATACAGATTAAGAACAGATTGAAATGGAAATAAAAGGAGCCAAAATAAAACGCACTAGGTGCATTTAAAATCTGTAATTATATTTGCCCACCTGCTTAATTATTCAAATCTGTCTGGGTTTCCAGTTGTAGTCTACTCCGTATTTCTAATGAGGTCCATCCCCAACAGGAAGAGATTTTTAAGCTGGCAGCACAGCCCAGTTAGCTGAGCACTTGTGCAGGCAGCACAGACAATCTTCCTCTGGAACTTAAAGCTTATTTCATATACACGTTGTCTTTTGAGTGTAACAAACATTTGGTTTAAGTGAAAAAAGACTAAAACCTAAAGGGAGATTCTCATGGAAATAGGGTATTTTAAACCCACACCAAAAACATTGCTAAAAAACAAAGTTAGAGGCTCAAAATGTTCTACTATTCTCAGTGATGTTGCTTTTTTGTATCCTGTGGAGGGAAAACAGGAATCCCTTTATTCCCGCAGTACTGACAGCACTCAGCAAGGAGGGGCTCTCTGTGCATAACATCATTCATTACATATGGCAGGTTCCAAATCTGCATCACATTTTCTTCTGGGAACATAAACAAGAGATTTAGAAAAATACCATCAGGAGTCATTAACACCTTTGTCGAACAAGCTACCAATATGGCTGTCTCCACAAAAAAAGAAAAATCTGTCTTTAGTCTTCACCAATATTCAATATAGCAAGAGGGGAGGCAATAAAAAAAAAAGTTTAACGATCACATTTAATTTCTTTTCACTTAGGATTCAAGTCAGGAAAGTATTCAACAATCAGAGACAAAAGCGCTCAGGACCTCACAGAATCTGGCTTTGAATTAATAGTTACATATATGTGGTTTTCTCCCAGATCAGCTCATCTCAGTGTTTTCACTTTTTTCCAAGTGAGGGCTCTAACCAGCATATTAACTTTAAAGGAAAAGATACTGAAGCACAGAGAGGAGATATGTGACCTGCCAAAGCCCCACAGCAGAGCACAGAGAACAAAGAGTAGCCTCTAGACCTCTTGCTTGGCGCACTCGCTAGACCATACTGACCAAGACATATGCTGTCTATTGTACCTATCTTTTCTGCAGGCTGTATTAAAACTGTGGCTTGCTGGCAAAAAGCTGAACAGATGGTATGCACTTGAAAATGCACAGAATTATTGTATATGCAAAATATAAATGTATTACTTCCATATGACTAACAGAGTTTTCTTCTGGAACAAATTAAAACATATCTGCCATACAGAAATTAACATTGTGCAAACTAAAACACCATTTCAACAGCACATATCACCCACTTCAAAGCATTAGATATGAAAACTAAACCGCAGTTAATGCCTTTGAGTTTCAGTGCCCAAAGAAGTCAGAGAGAATATTCTGTGGAGAGTATTAGTTTTCTTTAAATATCCGCAACGGCTTTTAAAAATTTTGGCCTCAATTAGATTTACTGCGGCTGCTTCTTTCTCATTTAACAACAAAGAGTAAGCATACAAATGTAACCATTTCATAAGAAATCCAGTAGTCTGCGTACTCCTTCATTAGTACTTTCTACCTACTTCAATAGAGAATCAAAACTAAACCCTAGCTTAAATCATCCCAGCTTGACATGTCTGCACACACGTCTTGCTTACACACTTGCCGTTTCTGAGCCCAAAATGGTTTTCAAATGCATCCACCCACTACAACAGCTTTCTTCAGAGATGCATATGCATTCCCACTGAAATCCAGGAGCTGAACCTGTTTTAAAACTCTTGCAACTAGCTTCAGCCAAAGACCTATTTCAGCAGGTCAGTTAGTGCTTTTTCTTTTTTTTTTTTTTTTTTTCCTTTTCAGAAAAATTTTAGGAGAGAGGTCAAAAGTTAAGGTAATTTATAAATACTACAAATGAATTTCCATTAGCTCTGGAGAGGCTGTAGCTGCTCCTCAATGATCAGCTTAGGAAGAATACTTCCCAAGGTCCTACAAACACTGCAATTCTCCAGGGATACCCTAGGGAGATGTTTTGACAGCTTTGAAGTTTGGTTTTATCACATGGTTTAGCTCCTAATGGATTGCCTTGGTCTCCTGGATGGCATGTTTGTTCAACTTGCCTTCAACTCTGTTTATCCCTTTGTAAAACAGGTATTAAATGCAAGTCAATGCAAGCCAGAAAGACAGGGGAGAGGGGGAATGTTTTTCCGGGCTCCCAAATAAGGTTCTTGTTTCTATACCTAGATGACAGAGTGCGAGTTGCTGCTTGTGCCACAAATCACACACATGGATTAATACACTTTTTCCCCGTAAAAAGAAAAGTAGTGCAACTTAGAGGCACGTTTTCCCTCTTAGATCTGCCTAGCGGGTCTCACTTTTGATATTTGGAAACATCTACCTCACAGGGGCCTTGCGAGGGTGAACATCAGGGTCAAAAACCCCCATATGGCTCAGAGAAAAGAACTTTTCCTTTCAGCGGGAAAGAAGAATAAGGTCATTGACGTATTAATGAATCTTGTAAACCACCTTAATGAAGTTCTAGTTTTCTTTGCCTTTTTTTGAACTCTGTCACTCCATTATACATGTAAATTTAATTTATTTGGAGTATATTAAATTTTCTTCTGCACTAGTTGCTGTAAGTAATAGGTAGAAGCTAAGAAAACAGAATTCCATTCCACTACTAGTAGGGAAACAAAAGTGTATGTGCCAGCTCCCTTCACCGCACCGTCAGCAAAACAAAAATATTGTTACATTTACCAGTCCAAAATATAATTATTTTAAATCTTTTCACATGCTTGAAAGTTCATATACATTTCCATGCCTCAGCAAAACAAACGTAATCTGTCCAAGCAAGCACATACTGAACTTAAGGAAAACTACATTTCACATAAAACGTTAAGGGGGGAGGGGAAGACAATTCATTTCAAAACAGTCTTATGAAAACATTCGAACAGTAAGAAAAAAAATAGATAAGCTGCGCACAGATTTTTAACTTACCACAAGAGCAAAGTACACCATAAAGAAAAATGATAAACTACTTGTGTAGCCAAGAAAGCCTGTAAAATAACAGTAAAAATAAAAGAGAATTTATAAGGAAAGTGATCCTAATGTACAGCTAAAGCTTTACATTTTAGGCATGTTTTCTATTACAGTGCTTGGTATCTGGGGCTTAGGACTCAGAATAACAACATTCCAACTGCCTGTCACAGATCATTTATGTAGTTTTGTAGGGCAGAATTAGAACTGGCTTACCACTAATGGCACGCTGTAAGTAAATGCAGCTCTTTAATGTTCTGCTGTAAAGATTTTATTTTAGTATTGCAGACAAAATACTACTGCAACCCAAGTAATAGGTTAACTAGGCAGGGCTGGAAGGCAGAACACGCTACAACAACTTAAGTAATCCCCACCATCACCAGCCCCCTGCCAGTTAAAATAAATAAATAACCCATTAAGGTTTTAAAGTCTTCAACTGTAATTGCTACTAAAGTAGAATAATATTCGCTTCTCTCCTTTAATTACTCACCAATTTTAGGAAGAAGTGCAAGAGGAAAAACAATGCAGACTGAAGTAATCAGTAGCAGCAGTCTCCCATCAAGGTACCAAGACCTGTTGGAATATCTATTTGTGACTGACACAAAGCTCAAGGGTCCTAAAATAGACGTTCTACTTTAAAACTGTGATCTTAGACAACATAACCACTAGGACAAGAAAAATAAACCATTTCAAGTCACACATGCTATTTACATGAATTTGTATTCCTAGTTTCTATATTGTGATATAAAATAGAGTTCCCAGATAATGAGGAAGCAAAGCACCATCCCATAATGAACCAGCACCGCAGGCGAAGTTCCATCAGCAAGTGTCTGCATGGATCATAGAATCATAGAATTGTTTAGGTTGGAAAAGACCTTTAAGATCATCAAGTCCAACCATTAACCTAACACTACCAAGGCCACCACTCAGAGGTCTGATGCGTGCAAAGTTATTTCTCAGCAGCACAATATGCAAATCCCTGCCTTTATTCAAAGCAATGATCAGAGGGAAGGTATTTCATACTCTGCAGATTTCCAACAGAAGTACTTACCATAGTACACTACATATATCTTGAATTGGATTACACCGAGTTGCGTATTTACACAACTGGAAGAAACAGCAACATTAATTCCCACTTACTGCTGTACTTCCCTTCCGTTTTATTACTCCTACATGACCTTAGTTCCTTACCATTTCCAAGAGGTGTGAAATAGAAAGCTAAGCTACCCAACCTGTTTGTTTGGAAATTCAGTTGTTTCTACACATACCAACTTCCTCTTCTGCCCAAGTTACCTACCATCACAGCATTCAAATAATAGAAGAAACAACAAGTAAATCAACTTCCAGTTTAGTTGAAATGATGTTTGCTGTCCAGAGGTAATGTAAGAAGGAACAGCAATAAAGAGAACTTTCTTATCTTTAGCTTTGCACACAGTGATCACTCATTCTTTGCATACATCCACACAAAATTAAAGGACAGAAGGGATGGAAATTATGCTAATGAAATCTGCTATAATGTTTATGCATGAAACGACACGTATTGAAAAAGCATTGTAGAGGCATAGGAAGTCTTAATGCATTTAAAATCTATTCAAAGTATCAAAATCTCATCTCCAAACTGATAAAAGTACAGATGTGTAAGTTGTTAAGAAACAGAAACATCTTGAGGGTGGCTCCCCTTAACTTGGTAACAACCATATCCTGTACTGATAAACATCTTGCACATCAGCCTCCGACTTTACTACCTATAAACACCTTGGCCTTTGACCTTCAAGTTTATTTAGTCCAGGATATGGTCAGCACCTAATAAACAGGCAGCACCTCAAGTTATCATAAGGAAAGTACCATAACACCTGTGTTAAACAAAAATTACCATATACACGTATTAACTACTGTCATACATCATGGACAACCATTTGTGTCATATGTTTGAAAAAATAGGTAATATAAATGAACAGCGAAATGTCAAAGTTGAGGGCATCTTTGCCATATCAAAAATCAAAGTAGCCCTTAAGTAACAATGTCTATATTAAAAATTACTCAAAATACATGACTCTTCAAAAAACCGTATAACTAGCCTAGGTCTGCCACTGCTCCAGTGAAAAGGCAACTTTGCCAATATCAGCTCCCCACTATAGTATTCTTCATGTTGCTAACATTTAGCATTTGCATGTTTTTGAACTTTTTCTTTCTTTCTAGTACGGTGGATGTTCAGATTAGGAGGAACAGTATCATAGCAGTAGGCAAAAGTATAATAGATGCTGCAGTGTGTGTACATGTAGGACCTCTGTTTTAAGTCTCCAGATTCCAAGCATGCAGCAAATCCACAGTTGCCATTGTAGCTCACAAGCTCAGCAGGCCAGAGAAAAAATTATTTTGGTTACTTTATGGTAAATGAAAAAACATTTGTGGGGGAGGGGGAAAAGAGAGAAGAAAACTGCAATGAGGTGATGGGAAGGAGAAAAAATAATTTTGTAAACTGCTGAATTTTGGAATACCAATTTTTTTATTTAAAAAGATCTCAAAAAAAAGAATAGCGGATCATTTGCTGGTTATCCAAAAATGTGTCCATTTTTCCCCAAAAAATACTGTTGTATAAATACACTTATTTTCCAAAGGCAGAATAAAGGTTTTGATACTGCCTTTAAAATCAGTTTGATCTGTAAATTTAATCCTATATGATAAAAACGTTCCAAGTATGAAATACGGAATATAAATCCTTGACTCTACTGAAAATGCTTTGGCATGCAGATGTTCCTCCTCCCTCCCCCATATTTTAACTAAAAGCAGACACTTATAAGTCACTTTAATTTCATTCCTGAGTGCAACAGGACAAGACATTCATATGTTCTAAATTAGGATCTTACTCTCAGTCCATATCAATTATATAACACACAAGCAAGACAACTTAATTGCATCAATCATATCCTCCTGACAGGGTCATTAAATGTTAACGGAGGGCTCACAAATTACAACATTTTAACATAATCTTCATTTGAAACTATGTTCATGTCATCAAAACTATGTGGAATTCTTGTTACGAAGATAGACTGAAACAGCTCAACTTGCTATTAACAAGTGTTCATATTGTATGGTTTTGGGTTTTAGTAAGACATGAAGATGTATTACACACTGGCTCTGAGCCTTTCAAACATACACACACCTGCTAACCCTTATCTGTAAAAATAATCCAATGCGCAAAACATTCTTTAAATGGCTTTCCCGAAAGTATGCTTTGGGATGGTATATGCATATAAAATATTTTTCATAGATAGTTTAACTGATGCTTTTGATACATTCTAACTACAGTAAAAGATAAATTCTGTACCCAAAAGAAAGGGTATCAGATGCTATAATGACTTAACAAAAACAGAGCAGTTGTGCAACCACATCTGGAAACAAGTGGTCCAGTTAAAATAGTTTAATCAAACTAATCAGTATTTATGCCCTTTGCAGAAATAAGTTGCTACTTAGGCTTGGTATTTGATTACCTAGTTCTGTTAAACAATTTCCTACAATTTAGAAACTCTGTTAGTAAAAAACTAATCATCATCTGTGAAGAAACACACAGAAACAAAAGATTATGATCTACCACGGCAATTACTATGGCAAAATATATGAGACATAGATATGGGCGTACAGAGAAGGTCTGCTATGTGCATGCACCTGGAATATTGCTTGACGACTGCATTTGAAATATTTGCTTGGGCAAAGAATAGAGGAGTGAAATTGTGTCAAATAAACATGTATCAGTGGAAGAACTCCCAATAACAGGCAGAAACAGGAAACAGAAACTTGGGCTGACAATCAGCTTACCACTTGAGCTGTGCTTAGTATTTCTATGGAAAATTTCAGCTCTTTCTAAATGCAAAACTGAAATTCTCTCCCATCTCAAGCTGTAATTTCAACTAAGGAGGAAGTACGGATGGTGGCAGCGCTGACAGCGCACTGAGAACTACCACGGCTCAGATGATTTGTAATAACCAGTTCAACCGCTGTAACCTGTCTGCCTGTTCACCGGTGTTCGCATCCAGAAGATCTGCACTAGGACCTTGAAAAAACAGCTAAAGCTGGTGGCAGTGTTATCAAATAGGCAGCTTAATAAATAACTTGTTTATACTGCCTTTTTTAGACAGAACAATCCTTTGAGCAGTATGCATGCACGCAGGACCCCCAGATTCTACCTATTAGGAGTTTTCGTAAGCTGTTTGTTTAGAAGTGTATCTTCGTTGCAAAGTCACTTTGCATAAACAGAGCTGACATAAAATTAAAACCAGTAGTAAGTGAAGTTATATGCTAAAGCTGAGGACAGACAGACTGGAACACACATGCAGCAGATACAGTAGCAAGCTCAATGACACTGCGTATGAAGAGTGGAGTTAAAGTACACTCTTGAAGGAGAAGGTGATAGCACCCAAATGAAAAGCTGATGACTATCACAGCTGGAAAACATACATTAGCAGACTAAAAATGACGTATACACATAAACCATAATAGTTTAAAAAAAAAAAAGCCCCTTACTAAAAATATATTATTGCAAAGGCCAGGAGGGCAGAAAGAGAGAAAGCAAGATTACCACCACACTTCATTTTTCAAAACGTTCATTATAAAATGGAAAAGTTATAAATGACAAAATGTAAAATGAACTAAAGTACCTTTTAAAAAACTAATTTCAAACTTAAAATTCACCCACAACGTTCAGGAATAATACAAGCATTACACAGCATTGAGACAATTTCACTATATTTCAATCCAGAGAAAGTTTTGAGCTCAAAACATCTGAAAATTGCAGTTTGGAAAAATAGTCGTAACACAGTCTAAGATACGCTGTTAGAACGACAGCAGCACTGGAACAACTCGGACAAGGTATTTCAGTGCTGAAGCTGTAATGTTTGTCTTAGCACAGGCACAGATTTCTTGCGACAGTTCTGACAGAAATCTGAGGGACACACTCCTTACATACAGCTTTATAGCTCAATTGCGAAGAATAATTTCTTTACTGGGAACCCAGTTACAGAATTATAAACCTAGTCTGGAAACCTGGAATTTTTCCCAAGACAAGTCCAATTACTGGAGCAAGACAACAAAGTATTTAAAACCAAATGTCTGCCAGTTTTTGTACTGTGGTTTTGAAATATGTGAAGTGATAACATGACAGCAGTTTAAATGTTTCTCCTCCTCTCCCTCCTGTCCCCTCCTGCTTCCCCTTTTAAATTTTTACAGAAGGGAGATTTCTGTAGATGGAGTTTGGCCACTGACTTTAAGGTCATGTGATGGGAAATTGTTATGAGGAAAGAATCACGCTCTCCGTGTGTGTGCTGCAGAAGGCTTGCACGTGCCAAATATATTTCATATTCCAAGAACTCATGTAAATAAATAATTTTTTTTAGCATGTGAGATCAGAGGGAAGTGTCAGTACCCATCTCCAGCAGTCCTGAACCACTTTCTTCTTCAAGACAAATACAGAATGTATGAAGCATTTTTCCTTACCCACTCTCGTCTCCACTTAAGAACCCCGCAACAGCACCAGGAAGTTCAGACTTTACAATTAAAAGATAAGATGACATAGCTGCAAACAGAAGCAGAACAGATTTAGCAGAGGAATATCCGTATCTCTGGTTGCAACAATTAGCACAGCTTGACCAGAATGGTTACGATTGGAACATCTCAGCTATATATTAGACACCACGGCACCAGAATCAGAATTTATTTTCTCATAGAGTTCCTTTAAAAATAGCTGCAAATCCCTGAGTATTGTACTGATGTTAGCTAACGCCTCCAAAGAGACTGTTACGATGTGAGTCTTGAAACAAGGAAAACATAATCCAAAGGACTAAAAGGCAAAACAATATAAAATATAGGCCTGACCTTTCACCTGGGAATACGGACCCACAGGCTTGAGACAGACTACAAGGCTGCAGCACTTCTCCTTCCTCTTTACTCTTTGTAAGACATTGTTAATGACGAGAGTAAATAGTTAAGACTTGTTTCTATCAATACAATAGGTTTTTTTTAAAGACTCAGTTTTTACTGTTGCTCAATTGCTGTTGCACAAAATAAATCTGTAACAGAAATTTAAAGACAAGAATAGGACTTGAAAGGTTCTTTATATACTGGATGGTTTGGCCCTCAGAAGTAAAAGGATTATCAGTGACAGATCTCGTTTCTCATGCTAAACCCACCACCAAGAAGATCCCAACAACAACATCAAGTGCAAAACTATACAGGAATGGTGAATCAGAAGAGAAATTGTTAGCTACTCTTATAGGAGTGTTGATTTGCAATTAAGCATTTATAATTCTATTCACAAGAAAGCAATGATGCATACCCATAAATCCAAAAGTACTTCATGGTATCACTTTTCTCCTTTACTATATAAAATGATCAAAGGCATAAATGAGAGGTTTTTTAAATTACAAATTATACTAACCTGATACCTTCACATACTGTTCATGTCACTTTTTTCTTTTACATAAAGAGCAAGTATTTCTATAAATCAAAAACCAGCAGAGAATTCCTCAGAAAAATCAAAATTTACAAACAGCTTCAACGAGTATCAAAGCCTACATGAAACTAACTTCCATTCTTCAGCAGCAAGTAATTTTAGTAACATGCCAACAAAAGTTCAGTTACATTTAAAGCTTGACAAAAATTCATCTGTTGTATTCAAATTTCACTGTTCTGTATTTATTAATTCTTAGAATTTTACCGTGGTGTATTTATTAATGCTTTAAAATTAAAACATAAATTTTAAAAAGGTAAACCAGCAAAATTCCATAAGCTGATTTTTGTAGTAAGTTTGTGGGGGTGTTTTTAAAGGAGTGTTTTGAATCTTAAAAAAACTGTGTGGACTCAGACACTGCTGCACTACAGCAGTTAATGTTAAATTTTGAAGAAAAGCAATATGGTCTCTATAAAGAAAGCGAATTCTATTAATACAAAGTGACATCTACCTACCGCAAGGTTAAATTAAAACCATTTGGTAGGTCACTAAATAAGGAAATATTCACTTCTTTACAATTAAAAGCTCTGTTTTTTCCAGTATTCAAGCATATTTCCCTGTTGACATGTAGCTGTTGATTGTGTCTGGTGAGGTATTTATCTGCTGTCCTGATTTTACTCTCGTACTTGCATACAACCGAATGTAGATTCAACCACAGAGAACCTTACAGCATGCATATTTCTAAATCACCAGAATTTGTAAGTAAATTAACATAATTTCTCACGCTAAGCTACAGGCAGATACATACCTCACCCTAAGCAAAGACAGATTTTTAAAAAATTGGAGAGGGGGGAAATTCCTCTAAATTGTAATTCAACTTTATTTATCCACTAGCCTTCTTTCTTGTATTATACAATGCTTTATACACAAGCAAGTCAGAATTCTCATATATTTATGTCCTTCAGAGAGATTTTAAAATTAGTTCGTTGGCAGCCTTGGCTGCAGAAAGCTTCAAATTAATTTCCAGATCAGATTTCCTCCTAATATGCAATCTGTCACTCTTCCCTTGCATTCCTATTAGCCTCTGGCTAATCATTTGATCACTTATCCTTTGTTGTGCGCTTACTCTTTGTTTTTAAAAGAGGAGTCTTATTTCACTGAATTCCTCTCCTAAGTAGGGAACCAATCATGCACCAAGAAACTTGCACATGCTAAACATTTGTATGCATCTTTCTTTCTTTCTCTGGGCATATGGGAAACAATCTCACATAGTTGGATCTTTTTTCTCCGAGTTTATATTCTCTTGTTTGTTCTAGAAGATGAAGAAAACAAATAATTGTATTTATATCCTAATGCTTAGATAAGACGATCAATCTCGTACATATACCTGAGCAGGACACCCACACTTTAAATACAGTTTAAAAAAATCAAATCCTGCTTTTTCTTCCCTTACAAACACAGATGCAATTCTCCTCATAAGCAACAGCTCCTTGTAGCTTTACTCAGCGTGAAAGAAGAGACACTAACCGCTGTATAACTCTCCGAAACACACTACAAAGTGAGCAAAGAACGCTGTTTGTTTTTTAAAGCTGAAACCAAAACAGCGAAGGGTCTTGAAAAAGGTCATAGCAACTTGAAAAAATTGTCACAAGTAGTAATAAAGTGCATACGGTATGACAGACAAAAAGTCATGTATCCTTCGCTCCAAGTAAGAAATTTTACTTAACTCCCCCGACGCCCACCGCGACTGAAGGCACGTCAAGTTATATTGTAAAAATTAAATGTCAGCTATCCTTGGCAGTCTTAATGTGTAACGGAAGGAAGAGATTACACAGTCACAAGCTAAACTGTGACACAAGTGAACACGGCAAAAAGCGTACCTTGTGCTTTGATTTATTCCACTCTGAAATACTGACTTCCTCTGTCATTTTGAAAATAATTTCAATGTTTTAATGGCTAACTTACAAACTAACTTTTATCACATACAAAAATTACAATAAACATACATTCACTTTTAGAAGTCAAGCATTCAAAAAAATCTAGCAAATGACAGAAGCAACATTCCCTTCAGAGCTGAGCCCCTTTGCATGCACACAGTATGAGAGCGCAGAACTTACTGCTCTTGCAACCCAGTCTCACCCCCTAAACTAAAAAAGAATGTTATGTTTTCTTCCTGTCACCCTCTCTTTGCCACGAGACATCTCTTTCTAGCACTGAATGAGACGGGTTTCCTGCAGAACGAATGGTGTACAACGCCGTAGTTTGAGGCTTCAGCAATATGCAGATGCAACAAGTGCTGATCTATAGCTATGTGAGCAATCTTCATACTGTCACTTCCTAATTTTCAGGTCCTACATTTGCATATACCATCTTATATTTAAATAGTTTTCAGTATGCACCACGAGCTACTTGATGGAAAACTAAGCAGGTTTGAACTTCTCAATAGGCTTTGAGACAGAAATGCCATAAAACAGTATTCAGCAGAAATCAAAATCATATTACTACTTTATTATTCAACAGGCTTACCACGGTCTTGAAAGCAGTAAGAAATTACATTCTTAAAATGCTTACCACTTTGCTATGTTCTGAAAACTTGGTATTAGCTCTTTGACAGAAAAAAGATGTTTGTACAATATAAAATAGGGTACTTGCTTTACACTGCCACTATTATAACCTGTAGTGCCACCACGAGATATGACTCTGTATAAGTATGCATACCACGCATACATTATTCGTAATGTCCTTATTGTGCTATGATATTGTTTAACACTGAGCACATGTACCCCTACCTGAACAAAATTAGTTGCTGGAGAAAAGGGAAGCCAAGGCTATGTTTTTAAAATAGTCCCCAAAATACCTCTTCTGAGGTGGCCCAATCTTAAAATCAAATACGTGAGTGGCTTTTCAGTTAGCAGAAAAGGAAGTGCAACTTTTCCTTATTATACTACTCCAAAAAGATCAATTGCTGAAGTCCACAGCAACGATGCAAGAGAATACGTACATTAAACTTACGTGTAAACACGTAATTTATTCCTTCCTTAGAAAATGGCTGGTGATAAATCCCTTCAAATCACTTTATTGAAGGGACTGAATCTAACTCTTCTGGTTAGTTTTTCCTACTCTACCACTGTAGCTGGTCATATTAGAGCACTATAAAGATGTCTTGCATTATTAAGCACTGTGCAGAAATGGAACCAAGCTGCCTTCCAAACTTCACACAGGAGAAGATAGGGGGCTGGGGAAAAATAAACAGTATCAGTACAGCCACACTGGCTCTTCAGCTCCTACTTAAAAAAAAGAGGGGTGCTGATTTGGGAGTCAGGACAAATAGAGCAATCTTGATTCTCATCTGGGGGAATACCAGATGACACAGAGATTCCTCACAAATGCCTGTAGATAATGAAGGTAAATGAAAATGCTTGTAACTCTCATCCTCTAAAGAGTCCAGTCAGTAAGAGCCCTATTTTTCCCCAAATACTGAAAAGATTAGAGGCTGAAAGACAGAAATAGCAGAATAAATACTACCGGTCGCCGCACACTCCAGCCCAACCGAGCTGCATCTTTCATATCAACTCCATGTGATAAACTCCTTTGGGCTAGTATCTCCCTTTGCTGGTATGGAGGCTGTTTAAAATTGAATCTGTGCTAATCCAAACAACGTGACAACATTAAAGAGTAAAGCAGGAAAGGATTTCAAGAAAGAAAGTGAAACTAGAGAGGATTTTGGGCAAGCTTCCATTTTTCCTGTCAAAGAAATAGCACGATAGGAAGCACTTCAGTACTGCATTGAGCTCCTCGTAAGTAATTTGAATTGTGGAAACATCAGGAATGATGCATGGATGCCAGGGAAAACCATCAGCTATTTTAGCCCTCGCACCATATGCCTTAAGAGCACACTTTTTTGTTTTCATTTTGCAGTGAATCCCCCACATATTCAATTTTAAGAAGTCTCCCAATTACTTGATGTATTGTTTTTAATATTTCCTCTTAGTGGAAGCTTAAAAACTGAAAAAAAAAATGTTGGGATCATTTGTTTGTTTTTAAATACAGGTGTAGACTGGAGTGTGTGAAAGGAGATGTTAATGCTTGTTCATATAGAGAAGTCCTGAGAACAGAAATAGGTTGGC